GCTGCTCCGCACTCGCGGTCGGATGGCGTACTCGGTCCTCAACTTGGTCGAATGGCCGGGGTCTCGGTATGTTGTGGAAGAGATGGGTTGTGCTTCCAGTCGGGGTTCTCGCACCAGGCGAGGTTCGTAGGAAGAAGCGTAGTTGACATCGGCATGGTAACCCGGGTATGGCGGACGGCCGGCAGAGTGGTAAGGATCGTAGGAAGCACTGAGCTGCACGGTGCCGGTGGAGGCCCGCATAGGATCGATCATACGCGATCCGCTGGGAGACATGGGTCGGTAACGCGCAGCGGGACCCATGCTGAACCCTTGCAGCTACTTCAGATTAACAATGGGCTGCGAAGCGCTATTTCCGACCGAGGAAATGTGGGGTTGGGACAGCGCAAGTCGTTCAACAGAAGCTCCGCAGGAGGTTCCAAGGCCGAACTTGCAGTGAGGGCGGGAAAGAAAAGTGAGAGAGTATTTGGATAAGAGAAGTGGATGAACAGACGGACTTTTTGAGAGGATAAAAAAAGTCTGTGGGGGTTGGTTGGGTGTAAAGCCGTTCAGGCACCCGACGAGACGAGCAGTAGATGATAAAGAAGAATAATGCCAGAGGGGCAAAATGACCCCGTGATAGGCAAGGGGGAGGGGCAAAGATGCAGAAAAGAAAAAAGGAAAGAAAGAAAAATAAACGGAAGGGAGGAATTTGACAGCGATTGACAGGCCGATGCCCGAAAGGACAGACCAACCGGAGGGGGGGAATAGAGGACGATATTTGAAGGGGATGGCGCTCACTGATTGATGGAACCAAACACTGGACAGTGGATTCCAGGAGAAGGGAGTAGAATGAAAGGATCAAAGCAAGTGCCAGAGATTCCACTCGGTGCGGGGAGGAAGAAGGGGAAGATAGATTGATGTGAAGATGAAGAGATGAAGATGAAGCGATCTTCAAGAATCTGAGGCGGAGAACGTGTGACGCAAGATGCGCGCGGAGGGGGGGAGAAAAGAAAAAAAGCACCAGAAACCAATCCGAAGCACACGGATTCCAAGCAGTATTGTTCCGAAACACGGACGAATGTCGATGGAAGGATAAATTTCCCCACTTGTAGGACTAGTACTTGTCCGGAGCAGTGGACTTCAAAATTATTATTGTCTGATATACAATACTGTCTGTTTGTAGTAGTGTAAATCCAGGAAAGAAGTGTGGAAGAGAATGAGAAGGAAAGTAAGTAGATGCTACTACTCGGTACTAGTCAGAACTGTGGAATGGCAGTTGGCCAACCACGGATTCGCAATCGCTGGGTTTCGGGTGGGAGCCGCAGCGGCTTATCTCAGCAGCCCGCCTTGATTGACTAATTGGACTAATTGGGGTTGGAACATCTCTTTCCTCCCCATTTCATATCCATCATGTCCATCATGATCTCGCTTTTCTTTGTCTCCCGCTTGGTGACTGGGCGTCGATAGGTATCACGGGTTCTGACTTTCTTGCTCTATTCGTCAAGCCTTCAAGCATTGTCGGTGATCCCAGCTGAGGATGACGGCAGTTACAGTACTGTGTCAGTCCCACTCTCTGTCTACCCCCCTCTGCCATCTTCCGTCTGTGGTGTAAAGACACAGACCCTCTTCACGGATTACTTTACTTACCGTGTGTACTAATATTCTTAGTCTGAAGACCATTTCATTAGTCCGGTCTCAACAGCCGATATTGTATGACTTTCCTGCTCCATCTCAGGCGCTCCAACACCGCTGCCCTCCACCCACCCGGGTGCCCGGGCAAATCATCCGTGGCCTCGTATCCACCTTCTTCAGTTACGCCTCGCCAAGCTAGGAGCGGATGATGTCATCCCGGACGAGTCTGAGGCATTCGGCACTCTTTCGGTGGCCCCAGTATGGAGCCCACTGCCAGCCCGAGTAAGATTAAGGGCTCTGAATGGCCATCCCGGTGGAGTCGGGCGGAATTTCTAGAAGAATGGCTCAACCATCACTGTCTGTCGATCCAACGGGCGCTGCTAGCCTTCCATGAAGTTATCGACGGAAGTCCGGCACACATCTGCCTTGCGAGAATGGCGTCTGCCAGTTCCGCCGCTGGGAGCCACGTAACGTCCCGGGCGGCTTCAACCTTGATCAGCCGCCGAAGTCGCATACACTGTGCCCTCCCGGGGTCGTTAGATCATTTTCGTCCTCTTTTCGAGCCATAACTAGCACCCCGTCTCCCGCTTCTTGCAAGCCAAGGGATGCAGATAACCTCGGGCATAAATTAGCCCCCTTGAAACAATGGGACGGGCGTGCTCTGGTCGGTTGAAGGTCCTTGCGGCGGTTAATATCCACCCCAGTGCTACTTGACTTGCTTCACCGGACAAGCGAAGGGAATGCGCGATTTGTTTCGGGCCCCTTCAGCACCCTGGCAATATCCTGCAATGGACGGGGAAGCAAATTCCTCTCCAAGCACTCTCAAGCACGCTGCCAGGGAACAAAGTAAAACACCCTGGTTGTGGTGTGAAGGTCATAGTAACACACAGCTCCTTAGGCAGTCTGTCGTCTTGAGTTTCTCATTGCGCTCGTCTTCGGGTTGGGGATTGACGAGATTATAGTACTCTGACATCTACACCTTCGTAAGTCTACTCTCTCCTCGTAGCCAGCCACACGCTTCCTTCGTTCGACTTCAAATCCATTGTGGATACTTGCTCATGACTCTTTCTCACTCGGCCCTCTGTTTCAGGTGTCATCATTTGGGAACGTCAAATCTGACGGACTCTTATTGGAGCAACCAGCCACGACCCAGCTAAGCCACCTAGTGTGCCCTGGAAACTTGTTGCCCGCATACCTGAACTCAATCCTTCGGGGCAGCATTGGGATAAGGCATCTACTAGTCACGCACAGCCCGGGGCCCCATTTTCACGGGACAGACGTTGCTCAGCGCACCAGGGAACGGGCCATCTGCTTGCATTAATGGAGCAATGCCTATAGGATTCTGCCTGCAGGTGCCTGGGCCGTTCCAACCCTTTGGGTCCCTGACCACGAGGTGACCCATTCGGAGTACGCGCATGCCATCTATCTCATCGGGAAAGCTTTACATTGCTGGCTTCGTCTTTGATGTATGCAGGCCGGGGCACCTCAATTGCAGGGACTGTCTGCCCAGGTATATCGCCCGCAGTGCCTGGACAACTCATCAACTGTCAAGGGTACATGAATTCACGCATCTGTTGTTGAGAGTGATTCTACATATAAGCATCGTAGTAGATGTCTCTGTTCAATTATTTCTTTCCATCTCATTGTCATCGATCTCACAGTCAATCTCAGACTATCAACAAGAACTCAAGTGTTTCTCCTCTCACCTCGCTTTCCTTGGACCGTTATATACATCCTCAGGGCCCTTGAACCACTCCACAGACCCTCTCCACTCTCAATTGATCCTGTGCTTGGCTAGTTGTCTTGTCCCAAACTGGTCCTATCTCCAGATCTTCCCAACCACAGTCCGGAGATCTCATTACCGTTCCCCAGTCTTGCAACCATGACCAACCAAGTCCAGAACGCCAACACCACCATAGTCCACGCAGCCGTCAGACCCTCTATGGCCGGCTGGTGGGTATGCTGCAACTGCGGCAACATGAACAACCCGTCGCTGAGCTCTGGCCGTTGCACTAGCTGCAACGACCACTCCCGTTGCACTTCCTGCAGTGCTGCTTGAGATACATCGACGCCATCCTATGCCTATGTGTATCCTTATTTGCACACGAGTCACGACTCTCATGGATATGTCAGCCTTTACGACCTGTACGATCATAAATACCCTCAATTTCGATATCCCTTGCGCGTGATGATCCTCGACAAAGTATGATAGATGGTTTGGGTTTGCTTTGGTCTTGCTTCTTGGTTTTGTTTACTGGGTACCTGTACAATAGATAGATTTTTCGGGTCTCTGTACATTAGGTCTGTCATCTTACTACGTGTACTTTAGGAAGGTCAAGGTTTTGGTTCTGATGTTCACGCTAAATTATACTTTGTAGTGGGTGGTGTTTAGGCCTCCTCATTGCTGCCTGCCTGCCTGTCTGCCTGCCGACTCGAGAGACGGATTTAGGCAGCACATGTATAGATTCTTGCAGATCATTTACACTAGTAGTATCACATTCTGCGAAATATCTACCAATGATGCGAATGGATTTGTAACGGAAAACTTGGTAGTTGTGATAGTGAATTGGTCTGGTCGAATTTCTTCAACGACTGCAGCAGTAGTCGCTGCGGTACTAGTGCTTCCAAGTATTTATATATAACCGAACTCGGGAGTTCCACCCCAACAATATAGTAGTACTTAGTAGTACCATACAACAAGTAGCTACTCTACATTAATTACCTGATAACACATTATTCATTTTTCTACGCAGTATTCAAGATCACTACATCTGCGCAATTGATACATAGACCCATTGTTCTGAAACTCACCTGGAAGGGTCCTCCGCGCAGTAATACAGTATATTTATCCTACGAAGCCACCAAGGCGGTCAATACTATGATCATGATCCATATAAATCCTAGTACTCATTCTACTACTGTCTAAAAGCGATCACAAGATGAAGTGCAGATAAAGTTCGGGTATAGCATATGATTTTCGGAACCTAAAGGAACTTGATCCCTGGATACTACTATAGACGGGGAGGGGTTAAATCTACGCCACGGAAAATTATGAGGCTATTGCCACGTGCGGGTGTATTCTCCGGGCTAATCGGAATATACCATTACATTCCTTCCTATTTAACCATTTATCTATTCCTGTACCGGTAATTGTTGTTGTGAGGTAGGATCAGTCTGCATTAGTTATGTATGGATAGAATAGAGCCCAAGCTATTTATGTATGCAAAGGGATAATGTCACCAGTCGGGAGAGCCAAAGCACTGGTGGTATCCAAGAAAATACAAAAATGAAAGGGTAATAAGGAAAATTGGGATGGGTGGTTGGGACGGTCAATGCGGGCGCTAGTATATGATGGAGTAAACGATAAAATCTATGGATTAACCAATCTGTCACTCTTGCGATTGTCTATGTGAACTTCGTCTTCGCTTGTGTTTTCTTTCGGTGTCAGTCTGTGTAGTGGGTTGGGATTCGGGTGGAGGATTTAGTCCGGCCTCCTTTTTCAGACGGGACACTACCGGTCCTAATTCGTAGAAGCTGTCCCCTGTAGTGCGGTCTGCACATGGGCTTTGCTTGAGAGGTAAGAACCAGTCGATGATGGAATACCCCAGGACCTGTTGGAGGTTTTTGAAGGGGCTGCCGAGGTCGAAAGGATTTTCGCCAGGTAGGGTTTGGAGAATGGCAAAGACATGCTGCTTCTCTGGTGGCTGGTAATCTCTTGCTGCCTCAGGAGATAGAGGCACAGGTGGCAGTGGGTACGTTATGGTGCGGAATGTGGGTGCCCATCGTGACTCGGGGTTGAGCCTTGCCAGCATACGATCTGGCACGCGTATAGCCAAAGTCCAGACTGCAGACCGACGGTTCAGGTTCTCAATTGTGGACAGATTCCACATCGCGAGCTGTAAGGAGCTGATAGTCATTCCGAAAGAGAAAAGCCCGAAAAGGGAGCTCCTACTGATGGTTACAAGGTGACCTAGAAAATATAAAAGGTAGGACGAAATACTTACAATCCAATACCAATGGCAAGATGAACGTTTGCTCCGCCAGTCTATGCGAAAAAATAACGGTTAGTTGCATATTAGAGAAGTTGAAGGCCCGTTCTCACATATTGGATGATCTCAGCCGTAAAGGTTGCGCATATTATCAGACTGAATACGCAGAATATCAGAGTATAAAACACGAATTGTATGAAGAACTTGAACGATGTTTCGGAAACCACGCCTCCTACCCTGTTCGAGTGTTAATCACAGGCCGGTACAGTACTATTGAGAAAGTGAACTTACCAAGGACAAAAGTGGTCCATCTTAAGCACACATCTGTCTACCTCTCGACAGTGATGTGCTCTATCCGGCTTGTAGCGACAACATGTCGAGCAATAAAGTGGTCTTCCATCCTCTTGACAAACAAAAACATCTTTTGTATAAAAACTTTCCAACCCGGTAATATCCAAAGAAATTGCACCACCGTCAGCGTTGTCGTCTGCACCTCTTTCGATGTCTATATCCGTCTTATCTGGCTTCTCGGCAGTTCTTGTCCTTCGGTGCTTTCTCTTCCTGCGTTGAGGGCGTTCCGATGGTTCCGTTTCTTGCTGTTCCTTCGTCGGCGGGGACGATCGGGGGAGGAAGCCGGGGTTGCGGGTGACATTATACAACAGCCGGAGATATGTTATTATAGCGACAAAGATGAGTATGTAGAAGATAACGAGAATGGCTATGCCGGCGCCAACTCGACTGCCTCGGGAATATTTAGGGAGAGGGCGTATCAAGTAGTCAACTGATTCGGACAATTAGCGGCGGATGTAAGCCATTGGCTCAGGGGGCACATACTGCATAACGGCTTGGTGACAATATAGCTTGCATATACACATACGCACAATAGAAATGGCGGAATAGTCCTGGCAACCGCTAGATTGACGCGCCTGTCTGGGCGCGCCATTTGAAACAGAACGTGGAAGGCTTACAAACGCCTCCGCATCGGAGAACAGTCAGCTAGCCAGTTTCAGGGAAGTCAACCCGCATATGTATCCATATTAACATAAAGTATATACAGATCCCACGGAGAGAGATAATGGCGAGACAAGCAAGCCCGTGTGAAGCGATATGCGACGATGGGGGACAGAGTTGAAGTTGGCAAGAGGTTGCATTGGCAGTGTTAGGCTTCCAGGAACGTGACAGGCACCATGTGCAAACAGGGCAAACCTCCGTCATGATGTCATGTGCAAGATCACGTGCCGATAAGGGGTGGGCTATCTACGTTCGCGATGTCCCCATACCATCCAATGTGATGCCTACGAGAGAATGTGGGACAGTCTTCATCAACATAATTCCATTCAGAAGGCAGCCATGTTTAGCAGCCAGTTTGACTCATAGCTGGCCCGTCTTGTGCTGCTTTGAGGTATTTTCACGTCACTGACAATTTTTCTACCTAGAAATTAAACCTTAAACCTGCTAATGTTCGTCTATACGTGCCGAACCTGCTTGATCGGGACGGTCTTGTCCGCTGACATCGATGTAGATATCGACACGTGTATGAGTTGACCTGCGGGACGGTTTCCGGTTTGTTTCAGAGTGTGTGATATCCTGAAATGCGGTGCGCCGTTGCTCTGAAGGCTTCCAGACTTCGCCAGGATGGTCCGATGCACAGTGAGATCACGAATTAGTTTGACATCTACAGCTGAGGAAACCGATGATCATCGGAAATAACGGCCCCGTTGAAACGTCAAAAGGGTACATGGCTGTGGCAGGATCGTTAGTCGGATATGTCATGGAGAGCTAGAACTGGCCATGACAAGTTTCCCCGCAGTTGCTGCACCATTGCTGTGCCGTTTTTACGGACAATGCCGTAGGTGATGCACCATGTAGAGCTGAACCTCAGGATAAGGCCCCCATTTAGTTCGTAGCGAGATTCAGCTCTGAACAGACGCGGACACGTTAGTACACTAGTGCCGGTTGCTAGTGATGGGTGATGTTCGTTAGTGGTTTGGAGATGGAGCCGAAGGGAGTCAGCGTCGGCCGTCTTGGCTGCACATGACATGGAGCCTCATGCGGGAGATCGGAGAAGCCGAAAATAGTACTAAGTAGGGGAGAACGAGGGCGGTACAGGAAAGAAAAACAGCGGAAGGAAGAAAGTCAAAGATCAAGCAGGAAGAGCACAGTGCCAAAAGAGAACAAGAGTACAAACGATGACAAACCTAAACATGAGGTTTGTAATGCATCCAGTCATCGTTCAAAGTGAGCAAGACGTCATTTTGGCAGGGCATGTGCCCAGGTGATCGATGGGCGTGGATGGCTTAGGCAGAACTAGTATGGGTGCCTGCTTACTTGGAGCAGCAGGAGTCGCGAACGCTTGACCGACGGAAGCATCACGAATAGGCTTATCGGTGCCCCATTAACTAGGGGAAAGGAACGGTCAACATCGGAGTCACAGTCAGAGTCTCGAACTGCGGCATCTGGAATTTCCAGGCACAGGGCACGATGTTGCCTGAATTGTATTTGCGCGCGCTGTTAACTAAAGTGGAGCCCCCTCCAAGGCCGCAACCAGGCAACATACTGTAGTCTAGCGTAAAATGGAAGTGCCCAGGTCCCGCAGTGTCAGTGTCATACTCCGCGAGTCCAGAAGCAATGAAGGGGGAGGGGAGAGAAAAGGGAAAGAGGAAATTAGCAAGCAACAAAAAAATGAGCAATATTCTTTGGGAAATAATAATCCAATTTCCTACGAAATGAGGAATTAAGCCATAGAGAGAGCAGGAAAAGGGCATGGGCGGAGTGGGCGCGCGCTCCCGGGCAAAAACGAGAGCCCTCCAAGCCTCGCGGATTCCGCCTTTCGCGAAGGTATCCGGTGGACCCTAGAATGTTTTGAGTCAACATTCGGACAGCATATCTTACGATGTCTGTTAGTGAGACAAGTCCAATATGATTCAACCCCGTCTGGGACTGCTGATTGCTCAGGTACGAGCAGTTCGGGGTCCCAAAAAGAAAATGGGGTTGCCAAGCCACGGTGGTCGATCGACCCTAACCTGAATGGCCCCGACGTTGATCAGGCATTGCAACTGCTTGATGACTGAGATGAAGGCCAGGAGGGCGCCTTTTCGTGAGATCAGCCACAGCCATGGCGAGGGCGCCTTGGGGCCTGGCTCTGAATCATCGCTAGTGACAACGTCTCGTCTCTGTGCTTCTCTCTTACTTCTCTTGAGGTTTTAAATAACCTTCAAACCCCAGCCTTCGATATGGATTCACTCACTCTCATCTACTACTACAAACACATTCACCAAAACAGCTTCGGATTCAATCCATTGCCTCTGCCTTCTAGCTTGCTTCTTCATAGCTTCCCAACATACCTACTACACTTTTCAAAGCTACCTCTCAAACATCATCTACCATCATGTCTGGAGTCTGGTACTGCTGCGATTGCTCCTCTGGACCTCACCGGCTAGGCCTCGACGACACCTGCCTCCAGTGCGATCAACCACGCTGCTCGAACTGCCACATTGATACTCAGGACACTGTTTCGCACCACTGTCACGAGTTGTCGCCATACGCACACGCTCCAGCTCCCCAAAACTGTGAACTGTCGGGGAACCTTGTCGCAAAGATGCCGTCCATGTTGGGATGTAACAAGTCCATCCTCCGTGCATCCTTACACCACAGCCATGCATTACAACATGGCATGCCTGGGGTCAACAGCCAGGACTCCCGGGGTACGGTCAGCCATGGCAGCCTATACTTCTGCTGCAAGTGTGGAGATGGACCAAAGCTGTGGGACAACCAGCCGAGATGTGTGATCTGCGACCATAACATCTGCGCATACTGCCAGCCGGCGAAATAAAGCATGAGAATGGTGACATGAATTGGTAAGGACCAACACAATGATTGGTTTGGTTGGAGCGTACGACTAATTTTTGATTTTGACAGATGTCAACGCATTGTTTGATCTACGACCACCTAATCCATCGATTGCGGGTACTTTATCTGAGCGTTATCGTTATGAGCGGCATGAACATGGAACAGACATGACCAGGAGTCTTGGTTTTCTTTACTTTCCTTTTTCTTTATTCTATTTACTCTCTGCTTTTAATTTCCTTTCTTCTATTTGGTGACTTTCTTTGCATGAGCGATTGCATTGGTTGAATTCTCAAGTGTCGAGTTTAGTTCTGTTTTTGGTTTCGGGTCTTTTATTACATGGATGACTGTACTAAAGATACGACTTAGAGTTGGGGCGGCTGCACGCCTGAGCGAGCCGGACTCGCTCGGTGGCAGCCGCGAAGAAAGCCTTGGAGTTTTGTGGGTCGTGGGGGACATTTTTCTGGATGGATAGACTCTGGTGCTCTTTTTGCTTCCCGCGCGATCAATTTCCACTATTGTTCTATGGTTTCTATTATGCGATCTCTTGTTTCACCCCCCTGTTAGACTAGATTTCGGTTTTGAGTGCATCAATGTATAAGCAATGTTTACTACTCCTTTGGAACCATGTTGACGAAGATCCTCTCGTAATCACCACTCGGCATCGATGCAGTAAAAGCAAATAAAGAATGGAGTAAAATAGAAAAGGAACAACAAACCTACGGGGGGCCGATCGTAAATGACGGCATAAGCGACAAAGAATCCGTCCGCAGACTGATCAAATCTCGTACTCGAGATTAAAGTGGTCGTCTTCTCGAATATCCCAAGTGTACGGCGTCTCGGGATGCAATAATAGCCACACTATAGCGGGCCAAAAAAAATAGTAGTAAAAAAAGGGGAACACGGACTGTCAACCACACGTGTTGATGGACGAACCCCGTATTGCGCCGCATTCGCACCACCACACAACATCCATATCCACCCTCTCACAGCCATACAGGCTACGGCTGGCCCATTTCCCTCCGAGCCGCAAAAGTCTTGGTTGTCCATGGGCCTGCACTGACTGGCTGGGGGATTACGGAGGATCATTGAACCGTGTCAGCCAATGCCATGCAGATCATGCAGCCACACCTGGCGTCGGCGCTGGAATCCACCGCCCTTTCACTGGGAGTTTGTATGCACTGAACCCTATGATGGCGGTGGAACTGGCGGTCGGTAGTCTTGGTACGTACCTGCCAGTGCCAGAATGATGGGTGTCTCCATTCTCGAAACTCGGGCCGCTCAGCTCGGTGGATGACACTTTGACTGCACCAATTGGCGTTGGGAGAAGATACGGGTGCCAGGGACTTTGCTGATTCTCTCCAGAAAGGGCAGTGCAAGTGCCGCTTCTCTTCCCCTAGTAGAGCTCGTCATGGCGTCCGTGTGTTCGTTCCGTCGCGCGGTCACCCTGCTTTGCTACCGCCGGACAGGAAAGTGACTCCGATCCTTTTTCAGCTCGACACCTTCTCGGCAGGATTCGAAATGTCATGATAGTGCCTTGACACCTGCCGACTGCTGCCAACCAATTCTTGTAACTCAGTCAGATCAAGTTGCTTATTGGTGGTCTTGCGATCAATCAACCCCGCCGTTCAGCTCCCTGGCAGCTGTTGAAACTGGGGCCACCCATCCATAGCCGTTGATCCTGGACTTGCCAGCCAACGATGCGACCGCGATGGGTGAAACGGCCGCCAGAGCCCGGCCCCCCGTAATGCCAGCGGCCACATGGCATGATGAGACATGGTAGGGATTACGCTTAACGTTCCTTTCTCTTTTTCGTCGATGACTAGGATCACGTTGAACACTGACCTGCTTTTGTTTTTGGGTTTTGCTTTTCCTCGAGGGTTATTTTTAAAGTTGTCTCAAATGTCTTTGTTCTCTGTCTCTCTTGCTCCGCCGTTCTGTACAACCTCAAATGTCCCATTCCGGTAATCTCACACGCTTTCCACACATATACACCTAGTACTGCGACCGAGCGCCGAACTCGAGATCTATTCTTAACTCTAGAAGCAAGCAAAAGCATAGCATGCCAGTCATGCTTCTAAATTCTCCGTATCACCCCCCATCGAACCTAAAATCACACTCCACATAGTGTGAAAAATCCTACATCCTTTTCAAGGCTGAATAATCCTTCCGTCTTCGTTTCCCCGACTCGAGAAAGTATATATAAATAAATCATCATCATCATCATCATCATCCTCTCTACCCGCCCGGCCAAGCCCACGCTACCCCGCCAAGCAACCACATATCCTGACCACCACGTTCCATGGCTTGCAACAAGGCACTCCCGTCAGCACTACCCAGAATCCATGATCCACCGGTAATGTAAGCAGCATCCAATCCCTGGACCATGATCATGGCCCATGCAAGTATCCGACTGGCGGCTAGACTGCGTCGCGAGTGATACTTAGTATAGTAATCATCATGCTAGCTGCCAGGCCATTTTTTCGAGTAGTAATTCGATTGCTTCCATCCACTACTGGCCAGACTACTAGTAGTAGTTCCATAGCACAGCCTTACGGAATGTGGCACCCTCTCCAACTCAATTCTTCCGACTTTCTTAGTACAGTAGTAGCTTGGGGGCCTCTTTCTTTCTCCCCACTATGCGCGCTTTCATCCTTCGCGGCATGTCTCAGCTGGCATTTCCTACATGCTCACACTGCCGGTGTGTATCTCACTTAGTCGATAGTAGATGATTACCGACTGACAGATAGGTAGGTACTTGGTACTTGCATCCTCACTTGCATTACTGATTACATACAGCCTTACACTCTACATGCCGCACTGTCTCCTGTGAGATTTGGACTATACCTTCCTTACCTGCGTCTCCAAGGTACTGCTGCGTCACTTGAGACTAAGCTTAGCACTGACTGTGCCGTACCTACATCTACATGGACAATCGTTGTTTCGTAGTTAGACAAATACTACGTAACTACACACACCCTGCAGGATAAGCATCACCACCACCACCACTAACTACCCTGGCTGCTTACCTTCTATATTCAACAACAACCACATCCCCTCTCGCTCTCGCAGCATTACCCCGATACAGATCATGATTGTCGCGATCCCTTCCTAGTACAGTAACCCGATCGCAACAGAACATCGCAGCTGTCTAGGAATTCTTTCCCACGAGCGATCTCACCAATCATCATTCCCAGCATGCATCACATACATACAACATAACTAACCCTCTCCGTCTGCAAAGTACCTACCCGACACCAACATACTATTTACTATCAATAGAAAAGCCATCTGCAAATCCCCCTCCCCCCTCACCAACTATGCATAATCCCGAAACACACTCGCTGAAACCCAGCCCACTTGCTTGCATATCTATTACACTACTACATTGACTATCACCAACCAGGCTATGCCTATCTAGTATCTAGTATCTTATGTAGTATCTCCTCGGGACCGACACAATAAATCATCTGTAGTTATGCAGTAGGTAAGCAAGCAAGCAACGACGGAGACCCGTCCCCGTGTCCGTCTCCGTGTCCGCGCCCGCGCCCGCACCCGTCCCCGACTGTTCCCGATACCTACCCTTCTTCCATTTTCCGTCCCCGAACGAACGAACCAACTTCAGCTTCAGCTCTGCCTGAGTCAGAGAAACCCAGTGACTATGACTACTAGTCAGTAAGTCACAAGACTACATATGACTCCCATACCTTGCATGAACTTTGAACTTGAATATTGTCCCCCAACCAACCATACACATTGAAGTTAAGCCACACATACCTACGTAGTACTAAGTAGTAACCAACATATATTTCCAGCCAGTTCAAATGACTGACTGGCTCCTGACTGAGTCAACCTTGCATACATAACTAACTAACTACCTACATAGTTTACATACATACATCACTACTATGTAGGTACTTACCAATTAGATAATATCCAACCATTACCAATACCAGCTAGTAGTACTATATCCAGTGACATGGGGGAAGCAGAAACAAGGAACGTCAGCACTGCCACATCGACATCAGTAACTTTATTAACTATTTAACTAACTTAGGTATGGGCGCGGTTTTGACTCATTCCTTCATTCTTTGATCATATGATCGGCTAATTTATTCATTTACTTTCTTCAAAATTATTAGCTTGATCTTAAATGAATATTGTGATGAACGGTAGGTAGGCTGAGTATGTGGTATCTAAGGGATGAACGGGGTGCGGAGAAATTCGGGGCGCAAGCTGCTAGCTAGTAGTAGTGAGGGAATACTACTAACTACGTAGTATCCGACTAGCCTAACAAGCTACACTACTATCCTCCTAATCTATCATCTATTTATCTAGTTAGTAAGTAGTATGCTAGCTGTTGTGGGTTAGTAAGGAGTAGGTCCATAGGTCTGCGCCTCGCCGCCTTGGTGTGGGTGTGCTTTTGCCCCGGTTTAGACGCTAGACGCCCGGTCCAGTGCCATACCAATTGTCCGAACCTAAGAGGTTCTAGTGTTTTGTTTTGGTCTGTGTTCTTAGTCGCGGCTCTGTCAACGGGGCATATTAGTTCTCGTGCGCGGTTAAAGTGCGCGGTTTTTCTCCTTTTTTGCGACATTTACTTGTTTAGCTTCCCGCTTATCGTTGAAGATTCTAAGAAAATCACGCAAGTGAGGCTTGGTAGAAGATAATTATGATTTGCTATCGCTATGTACTCCCTATGCCCTGACGCCCTGCTGTACAGTCCCATTCCATCCAATGGGCTCATAACCGCGTCCAGGATTCTCATCCCATACCTTGAAGACCAGGCTAGAGGAAAAGGGAAAATCGAAACTGTCACAGACTCGATGTCCCCGCCTTGCTGGCCAGACCAGATGTCGTAGTGTGGGTAAATCGCTTACGCCCACTTCCTAAGGGGGTGAAAATATGTGATCCTCCAACTCCAGGCTCGCTTTTGTACGCCAAGTAGTAATAGATAATGAAGATAACGGGAAAATGCCCACTTGTGTCGTTTCAGAAAGAGATACCAGATCTCATGTATCAGAAAGGAAGAGTGTGGGCCACGCTAAGAAAGGCAATGAGGTTCAGGGAGGGGAAAGGAAGCCTCCAGGTCAGGAAGGAGGGCTGGCGCGATGTAGAAGGGATCGCTGCCATTGCTGGTACTGAGCCAG